TGCTGGTTATTGTGAATTATGTGAATTGATGTTGTTGTTGATGTTGTTGTTGATGTTGTTGTTGTTGATTTTGTCATTGTTGCTGTTGTTGATGTTGTTGTTGCTATATCTATATGAAAATAATAATAATAAAGAATTATTAATTTATTTATTTTCATTATTATCATTATTTATTATTAATAATAATATTATTACTTTTATTCTTATTATTTCATCGGCCGATGTAGAATGATAAAATAATTAAATTCAATTGAAGAAGCGAATGCAATGCTTTCAAAGCACTTATCTCAATCCATACATACATACATACATACATACATACATACATACATACATACATACATACATACATACATACATACATACATACATGCACACATACATATACACATTCATATAATGTATGGCTGTATATATATGTGTGTGTATTAATATTTGCCTGTAATTTTGATTTTCATTTGAACATATTTTTTGCTATGTGTTAAGATACTGATAACGATTATGATAATGATGATGGTGATAATAACAACAACAATAATAACAACAACAACAACAACAATAATAATAATAATAATAACAATAAGAATAGCGTTGATTTGATTGGTCAGCAAACGTCGTCCTGGCAATCAAACAACTCATCTAATTGGTCACTAATTATAGACACCAAACCCATTTCCTGTTGGTTATGGTGATGATTGCGGTAATTGGGATGATGATGATGATGATGGCGATGATGATAGTGATGTTTGTTATTGATATTATTGGCCTTGTTGTCTATGTGATACGATGACGACGATGACGACGATGGCGATTGTGGTGGTTGTGGTGGTTGTGGTGGCTGTGGTGGCGGCTGTAAGCAATTTCCCCAAATAATGAGATTGCTTTTGATGTGCTTGCTCTTCCGTTGTTGTTGTCTAAGACGTCGGGTGAAATACTTTTTCAAATTCTGCTGAGAAATTTCTAGAGTTTTCCGAGTCAATGATGAGGATGATGAGGATGATAGAGACGACGGTGATGATGATGATGCTCGTAAGATGACGTAATCATCGTCGTCGCTGTTTCCATATTTGGACACCTTTAAAAATGTAAAAGTGAAACTCCTTAGTGTCGTCAAATCGTCGCAACTTTCCAGCGATATCATCACCATCATCATCACCATCTTCGTCATCTTCATCATCATTATCATCATCAACGACGCAATCATAACCATCACCAGCAAGAGTACGACTTACAAATGCTGTCGGATAAATGCTGTTCGAGGAATTCAATCTCCCACGTGAAAGGGAATTATACCCATCATCATCACCACCACCACCGTCATCATTATCATCATTATTGTTGTTATCATCATCATCACCGCCATCGTCATCATCATCTTCTTCTTCTTCATAACTTGTTGATGATGATGATGATGATGATGATGATGACGTTTGATGCAGCTGGTTGTGGGGACGAGATTTTAAAGGCAGCTCTGGTGATGATGATGATGAAAATGATGATGATGACGACGACGATGATGATGACGTTTGAGAAGCTGAAGAAATTAAGGATGACGTCATATCAATTTCATTATTATTATTATTATTATTATTATTATTATTATTATTATTATTATCGTTATTTACTCTGAAGAGGCCGGTTAGTGAGCAGCCGCACACGATGGGGTTCCTCAGAAGGTCGATAAATTTTAGCGCCAAATTTGGCTTATGAACGAAGAGACATTTGGATATCGTTTGCAGAGAATTTCCCGCCAAATTCAAACTGACCAATGAAGGAGCGTGCTGGAAGAGACTGGCCGCCAGATTGGTCAGACGGTTGCCTGATTTTGTTTGGGGTAGGTTTAAAGAAAATTAGAAGAAATAAAATTTAGAATTGCTTGATTCTTTGTTGAAAATTTAAATGAAATGTAGTAGAATAAACTCGTCAACATTCGTTTATTTTATATATTTGTTTTAAATTGTTGTTAAAAATTGTACAAAAGTTTATTAAAACTATTAGAACGAACGAGAGAACATCGAAGAAGGAAAAGCAATTAACCGGATAGATCGAGATATTGCAGGCTGTTGAGTCCGACGAATGTTCTAAACCAAACATTTATCAACTCGTTGTTCTGCAGGTTCAACATTTTCAACCTCCCCAAAGAAGCAAACGTATCGTCGAGTAGATATGCTATGCGGTTGTTAGACAGATCCAACCTGGCCAACTCGCTGACGCCACTGAAAGCATTTGGATAGATGTACAACAGCCCGTTGTTGTTCAATTTTAAATACTTCAGAGCGGGAAAGTGCTTGAAGTACCAGGCGGATATGGAGCTGATGTGGTTGTGTCCTAATTTCAGGATTTCAAGATGGCGTCCGATGACGTAAGAGAGGGAGGAGCGTAGTGGGATGGTTGGATCGACCGGAGGACTGCGTTTGTGCCGATGGCAAGGATGACGATGGGGATGATAGTGTTGTCGTTGTTGATGTTGTCGCTGTTGATGTTTTTGTAGATGTTGTCGTTGTTGTTGTTGTCGTTGTTGATGTTGTTGATGTTGTTGTTGTTGTTGATGTTGTTGTTGTTGATGTTGATGATGTTGCTGTTGTTGTTGTCGTTGTTGTTGTTGTTGATGTTGCTGTTGATGATGACGACGACAAGGACGACGATGCTTCGAATGTTTTTCGCGTCGTCCGTGAAGACGTGGGGGATGAGATTTGTGATCCGTCACTAGGGATGTGCCGATCTCGCCTCTAATCGAATCGTCGACATTCCCATTATCAGCAACATCGCAATCATTATCATCATCAACATTCTCCTCGTCAACATCATTATCATCACTACCCTCGTCATCATCATCATCATTATCATCGTTATTAACATCGTGAGTACTACAACCATTAGTATTGGAATCATTCCTTTCAACTTCATGGATACAAACAGTTGCCTGGATATTTCGCTTTCTACGACCACCAGCTTTCCGGCCGCTACTTTTACTACTACCACCACCACTACTACTGCTCCTGCTGCTTTTAGACACACCCAACTCCCTAATTTCATTCCACTCCAAATCGAGATGTCTCAAATTAGGCAGCTGATTTCTGCCGCCGAATGACGCCGAATCAAGTGATTTCAAGTTGTTCCCCCACGAAATGAGTTCCGTGATTGGATTGGAGCCCCTCAGAGAAGAGATTGACGCGAAGAAATTCGCTGGGAAATATTCGATCCTGTTGTTGGGTATGATTAATCGGCGCAAATTAGGAGAGTCTCTGAGAAAATTTTTCGCGTGCATTTTCGGCCCTAAATTGCAATTGGACATTTCTAATATTTCAAGATGGCTACGTGTTGTTAGGGAAAGTAGTTCTGGTGAGGAGGATGAAGAAGAAGATGAGGAAGAAGAGGAAGACGATGATGATGGTGGTGGTGGGGATGATAGCAAGAGGCCGATGTTGTTGTTGCTCAAAATGAGTTTGCGTACTTTGAATCTGCCGTTTAAGAAGTTGAACGTTTGCTGCTGCTGCTGCTGCTGCTGTTGTTGTTGCTGCTGCTGCTGATGATGATGGTGAGGAGGAGGAGGAGGAGGAGGACGGTGATGAAGATGTTGTGATGAATTAGTATTTCTATTATTATTAAGATGAAGAAGCGAGTTGATGTCCGTTATTGTATTTGCATTTAAAACGAAAGCGTTCATAATTTCATCGTCGTCATCCATTTCGTCGTCATCATCATCATCATCTCCCTCACTTCTTAATACTGAACTATTACTATTACTATTATTGTTATTATTATTGTTGTTATTATTATTATTATTATGCGAGAGATTGTTACTATGTAAGCCGATCATTTGAGCAGTCTGTTCCATGGCTTCTCGATGTTTTGATGCAAGTGTGCTGCTAAAAGTAGTATTGTTATTGATGTAGTTGTTGATGTTATTGATGTAGCTGTTGATGTTTTTGTTGGTGTAATTAGTACTATTGTTGCTAGCATCGTTGTCATCGTCGTCGTTCCTAGCGATGTTATGAATGTCGTAATTTTTCGCCTCGCGAGAAGGCCATTTTTTTCTAACTCGCGACGAAAATTTCACGAAATTGTCGTAAACGGAGCGAGCGTTGAATATGGAGCTCCCACGAGCGTCCAACAACACGTCGCAGCGCATTTCAAGAAAGTTTAAAGAACACGCACATCCCTGTTTTTGATTGGCGGAATGACGATGACGTTGCGTTGTCGGGAGATTTATATGACGACGTTGTTTTTGTTGATGTTGTTGATGATGTTGATGTTTTTGTTGTTGTTGTTGATGTTGTTGCAGATGTTGTTGCAGATGTTGTTGATGCTGTTGTTGCAGATGTTGTTGATGCTGTTGTTGCAGATGTTGTTGATGTTGATGTTGTCGTCTGGATGCCTGTAGTAAATATGATGGATACCTTTGATGAAAACGATGAAAAATGTTTTGACGATGAGGAAATTTTTGTCGCTGATGACGCCGCTGCTGTTGCTGCTGTTGTTTTTGTTGTTGCTGCTGCTGTTGATGATGATGATGTTGATGTTGAGAGTAATGATGATGATGCGAGTGTTGTCGAATGTCATTATAAAGATGCTTATAATGGTCTGGGAAACTTTGAGATAATTGGTTTATTTCACCGGTTAAATTCGTGTTATTGTTGCTGTTGCTGATGTTGTTGTGGTCGTTGTATTTGTTGTTGGTGTTGTTTTTAATGTTGTTGTTGATGTTTTTAACGTTGTTGATGTGATTGTTGTTGTTGTTGATGTTGTCGCCTGCGAAGATTTTGTTGTTAAAATTGAGTTTCCTTTTAAAATCGAAATTCTCATATTGTCTGATATTTTTTAAACCACCATTACCTCCATCATCATAGTCGTCATCGCCATCCTCATTATTATTATTATTATTATTATTATTATTATTATAACTATTACCATCACCACTATCTGATAACAGTTCATCGTCAAAGATTTGAAACTCATAATCTTCATCAACGTCTTCATCATCTTCATCGTCGTAATCG